AGGTAACACTCGCCTATCACCTCATAGTTTATTATGAAGGTTATTTACAGAACACTTGACTTTGATATTCAGCTAAATGAAACAATCAGGTTTTAAAGGTTGTACTAGGTTTCAATGTTAGCGCGCAAAATTACAAAACGATGTACGTCCTTTTTTGCAACAGGTCCGATTGGCAGCATTTCGTCAGGGTATCTGGACACATCCCGACTTGCTTCCCACCCGGCCTTAAGCACAATTCAACACAACGAAAATGGCCAATCATGAAGTCATAAAACTACCCTCTCCCCCCCACACACACACACACACACACACACCATGATCTATTTGACATTATCTATTGCCTTTCCATTTTGATCGATTAAAGTGGCCGTGGGGACTTGAAGGGACTGTATCATCTATTTTAGCAACAATTTTCAAAATGAGTGGAAACTTTTTATTTATTGCAGCAGTGAAACGAAGGACGGGATAATGCTCACGACACCGTCTACGCATTTACGTTATTAGTATTTCAAAAATTCAACTTCTTTTATACTGATTAAAGAAAATCATTATCACAGATATTTATTTCTTGGTTTTAAGATGATAGACCTCACAAAATAATTGCGCTTTTTTAAAATGACAAATATCTATTTTCACTGATATCGAATTTGTGTCGTTCTATTTCAGGATTAATTACAGAATCCAATTTGCAAGTGATCCATTAGAGATATCGGCAGTTCTGGATATTATGGTCAAGAAACACAAGCCATGGTGCGATTTGGCATCCCTCGCAACACTTTAAGGGATTATATTGGCATTTGCGAATTACGCATAATAGATAGCAAGAGATACAAAAGAGTGGTCGAGGCAGAACGGCAAAGATTGGGAAAGGTCTCCGTTAAATCTACTGAGTTGCGCCGTAGGGCGGTTCTAAACGAATGCAGAGTTCAGTCAAATAGATTAAAAGAAGAAAAGAAGCTCCTTCCTTTTTATCCGAAGGAAGGCTTTCACAACCAAAAGTAAGTTCGAGTAGAAATTTATATATATTGGGTGTAAGATTCGCGAGTAGGTTATTTACTAAAGGCGCGCTTTTGATTGGCTCTAATTTATAGGGGGACCAGCGCGCTGAGATTAAAATTCATGAAGAAATGACGTCAGATTCTTTTACCCTAATATCACGTGTTCTGTAGTTAGCAATTCAATTTTCATCCCAGGGAAAATGTGGTAAGGCGCCAGCTTTGTGTGTTCCGGGCGTTTCTGTAGTTTCTTGTTTTAGCTCACGTTCTTTAATCGCGAATGTTATCAGTTGGGTTTAAACGTCACCTATGATTTCCAAACTAACAGAATGACATGAAGTGACAATTGCAAAGTCTTTGATAATAGATATATATCGGATGCTTAGGGGTGGACCACATGAATAAAGAAAGGGGCGGGGTAAACGTATTAAACAATTTTTAGTACACTAAAGTTCTCTCGAATGTTTTTAAGTATTTAGGCATTACAGGTTACTCTTTGGATGGTTAAAAATACTCAAGTATATCCCAGCTATGTTCCAGTCTGCTCTTAGGATTATTTTTTGGATAGCTTAGCCTTGGGCTGATATGTTTCCTGCCTTTATTTGCAATGTTGCACTCCTTCCTGAATACACCAAATATCTACACAATTTTTTTCAAGCTGAAAAACGGTTTGCCAGTGTTTCTTGTAGTGCCACCATAATGAGTAACCAGTTCAAAGACGTTAAAAGTTAATACGAACTTAACAATTGGTTAGTATACTTTACTTACATGGTTACTTATACAATACTATGCCTCGCTTCGCTTTAAACCGTTTAACAAATAATATGCGATGTTAATTTCAATTTCAAACAATCATATCATAAGCTTAATTTAAATACTAAATACAATAACGAACATTTTTTATCAACTGCTATGGAGGGTAATTAGGTTAATTGAGGGCCTGTGTATATAATACAGGAAGAAGGATCACCCTTGCCTTCCCTGCTTGAGTTTGAAATATATACAGAAACACTTAGAAACTAGAGTGAAAACTCGGAGGAGAATTTCCCTCTTCATCCCGTGTTCAAAATTTCCCGTTAGGACAATGCTTTCTCGAAAATTCTTGAACTGAAAGCAAGCCCAGTAGAAAGTAGCAACTGCAACAAAAAGACAAGAAAAGGAGAAAAAGGAAAAGCCAAAAAAAAAAGCCGAAAAGTCTTAAAAAGTTGGTAGAGACTTTGGTGAATGCCCGTGGAAAAATTCGTTTTCAGCCGTACACTTTATCGTTCACACGAATCGCTTGTCCAACACGCGTCGAGTAATTTTGCCATTGGTTCTGAAATTTCAGTAGTGTGACCATGCACCACATCCGGTCTATTGTTATGTTCAAAACGCGCCTTTCCTGTTCATGTTTTCTGCACAATTTATGTTTTGTTTTGTTATATCAAACAGGTTATAGTCTATTACGTCCTCGTATTTTCAAGAGCCTTTTCTTTTCTTTTCTAGCTTTTCCTTTCCTTTTGTTTAGTTATTATTTTGTTGTTAACATACTTCCTTTGTTCTGGTGAATTGAGCGTTAAATCGGTTCTGCAGCTTGTACTGTAATTTTTCCAGTTTATATTCCTTTATTGCATGTAAAACATTAGTTTATTTTGTATCATTTTTCTTGGTAACATCTGTTAGTTGTTCCCGTTTGTTTTTTACCATTTTATTTTACTTCCGTTTACTCTATTTTGGTTTTTGTCTGATGTAATTTGCCTGCTGTATTGCTGTTGGTTCGCATTTGCAATAAATTGCTTTGGAAATCCTTGAATCCTCCTCGTTCCTACTCGCTCGACTGCCGCATCCTGTGTCATTAATTTCAAGTGTTCTCTCAACTTCCCATGTGGGTTATCATTCCGGTAAACCAATAGAAAGTGCGGTCTGTTGCTTTTACCAAAAATACTGTATCTCTATGATGAAAGTTGATCCAAAAAGAGTTGTCAAATCTACATAGTGTCTTCAAAGCGTTTTGTGGGTTTTTTATGTCTTTGCAGAGAATAACCTTAATTTTCGACTGTGAAGCCATGTTCAGTCAAGCAAATTATTATGAGTAGTGCTGGTAGACAACAGAGTAAGAAATTGCAAAGTCGATCATTACTTCAAATAAATACAAGCTTTTGGGTTTTATTCAGGAAGGATTTGTTGTTTTGTTTCTATTTTTCTTTTTCGTGATGTACTGACCTGTTTTTTGTCTTGAAAACCTACTATTCTCGAGTATAGTTTTGCTGTTTTTCCGTGACAAAACAGGTGAGAATCACCCTCCTCTCCAGCGTTTGGTAACTGACTCAAATCAAAGCGAGGCGGAACGTTTGCGACAGAAAAATTTTTCATTTTTTGTAATTACCTGAAAAAACCTTGTCTTAATCTCGGCTTGTAAAAGCTTTTTTCTCGTAATAGCTGAAGTACGATTTTCCACAATATTACTAGATCGAGTCCTATTAGTTCTTGCAGTTGGATCTGCGGGTCCTAGATTTTCGTGTGAAGACTGTGTATAGTTTTCTGTTTTCATAAACACTTTAACATCTAACATGCATATTCATTTCCCGATAAACAAGAAAAAAAATCCTGCCGAACTAAAAACAGACGTCTGCTCCTAAAGAAATTATTTCACGGTCGCCTGTGAAATAGCCTCGAGGTTATAACTTCAAAAAAATTAGTTTACCCGCAATTGAGGAAACATAAAAGAGATATATAATTGCGTCAGGACCAAGCTGGAAGAATAAAAACAAAGAAGACCACACAATAGAGTTGCAATTAACAGTTTCCGTCAAATAAGAGTTGTTTTGAACAGTCAACCATTGTCCGCTGGCACAACACAATATATTCTACCCCGGGAGCTTTTAGCAATGCAAAATTTACGGTAACAAACAGCTTACTATTTAAAAGCTTTTGTACTCCTGAAGCGCAGCTGATTGCTCAAACTGACTAATTGACTTCAAAGTAGAAAACAGATTTTCTTTTTTTCCCGTAAATGTTTGTAACGTAAGAAAGCTTGTGATCTATTACGCAAAGATAGCTGGTGAGGTGGAGACCACGAGCAGTTCAACAAAGAACAAAAACACTTTAAAAAAGGCAAGTTTTGTCTGATATACTCCACGAGGTCAGGTGAACGCATTGCGATGCGTAGGATTCAAGCTAAGAGGGACTGGTGCATAATTTCTCCTTACAGTGTCACAACTGAATCAAAGTCAAAAGTCATGAGAATTAGGCAAGTGATCACCAATTGCAGAAACTCTTGATTGTTAAACATATTCTCCTTGTCAGAACCTTAACCTTAAAGTAAGGCAATATAAAAAAATGCTTTATTCAGAGCTCTCAAGTTTGACTTCTGGTAAAGGGTGAAGTGTTCGACCATATATCCGTCTCATGTGATACCGCGCTCGGCCATCACCTTTCTGGGATTGGGGTGGGGTGGGTATGTAAGGAGGCATTCTTCCCCGGAAAAATGCGAAAAATAAAGTAGCCTAGTTATACATCGTTTTATCCTTATTCTGAGCATTTGTGGACAGAATCCACTGTACCGGTCTGCGGTCAGCGTGTGACTGACGAACTTCTCACTAATAGAACAAGAGGGAAGTAATATTAACTTTATTATTGAAAACTTCTGTTGCTTGGATCTTAAACATTTTTGTAGGCCATGGAAGAATTCATCGTAACCCTTAAGCTCCCATTAGTGACCAAGACAGAATTTCTCCTTAAAGATTAAACTTTTGATCCAGTAGCAAATTCTCAGAGCTAACATCATGAGAATTGTATATCAGACAGTAAAGAGAATTAGTAATGAGATCTGGGAATTAAAGGGTTAACAAGGAAAGGTCTATTGAAGATCAGCCCATGTACAATTTTGATCTAACTCTATTAAGTGGTTTTGATCAAACTTTGTGTATTTTTGTTTTGTAGCTTACTCAGTGTGATACTCCAATACATCAATGAAATCTTCCCAGTCTCCCAAAAGAGTTTTCATAATTTATTAAAAGGGATGACATGACAGGAAGCACTCTGTCTGGAAATAAGGTACACATATAAATATTAAGTATATATTAAGATGTAACATTAACTTTATCAACAAGAAGTGAGCTTAGTAAGATGTATCTGAGAGGTTGGTGCAGCCACAGGAGACCCAGGCAAGCAGTCACGCAATTTGCTTGGAATGCCTGTGGTGTAAAGAAGAAATTTATTTTAAGTTTAGTAGGTAAACAAGACAGCAGTTTGTGTGGTATCCATCCTCTACCATGACTGTGCTAGTCAGTGGAAGATGACACATACTATATTTATTCAATTAAACACCACAGTGTTCATTAAATTTTTGTTATGCAAGTGCGGTATTTCTTTGATGTTTATAATTATAAAAAACAGAAATATGTTTAAGTGCTTGTCTAAAAGGTAATTTTTATATATCGTTCTAAATTTCCCAATTTTCATGTTAATACTACTGCAATACATAAAGTGAATAAAGATGTAATGTTGAATATGCTTTCTCAGTATCAGAACTTGTACATTCCAAAGGATTTGTGTCTGGTTCACTCAAAATTTTCCAACTTCAATCAAAGCATTGATTGCATCATGATGCGGCATTTATTGAAGGGCAGCAGTTACCTATATAATTCTGCTCTAAAATGCAGTGTTAATCAATAGCAGTGTTTATTCAAATAAATATGGTATGTACTAATTAAACCGCACTCACCAAAGTGAGAGGAAGATCACAGTGGTTACATTTTGCCAGCCTTTGTTCAAAGTACAGATATTTTTTTTACCGTGACTGCTATTTTGGTTTTCAATTTTTTCATTCTCTCAAAGTCATTACAGCTTAGGTTTTTTTTGTATAGCTGAAGGTCTTAATCAAGAGATAGCTGAGGATGGTTCAACTTAGAGCAATTAAAATCTGCATTAGCATGAGCACTATTGCATGAAATTATTGCAGTGTAGAGGCTGATGTTATGCTAAAACAATTGCAAGAGAGAGTATAGTTGTTCTGATGCAAATGAGAGTAATATTATAATAATTGTAGTACCTTCTAATAATCTGAGTAAAGTGACTATAATTATATGGAAATATGTCACTTAAATTGTGAAGTCTTGCTGTGAACACTACTTAAGTAGTAGTGAGAATAAGGCTTGAATAAAGTTCAGGCCTGTATGCAATTTAAACCCATGACCTCAGTGATACCTGTACAGCACTCTACCAACTATATGATTTTCATGTATATTTACAGTCATTTATTTACCACTTTGAGGGTTTTTTGGGAAACAACATGATGACCAGTTCCCAGTGGGCTTGTTAGCTCAGTTGGTGGAGTGTTGCACCAGTATCATGATGGTGGAGGTCATGGGTTCAAATCCTGTATGGGCCTGAATTTTTTTCAGGCCTTATTTTGGTACTACTTAAGTAGTGATTAGAACTGCGAGGATTGCTTCGATATTCATTTCTTCAACTGCAGTACACATATATAATTTTCATATCTTTACATTCATGTAAGCTATTGATCGTTAGACAATTCCTCTTTGTTAGCATTTTAGAAAATGTATAGAGAACAATATGGAGAATATGCAGACTGAGTTAATCATGTGTAAAAGGTTAAGCACATCCTCAACTGCTGAGTAACCTTAAATTGTGCTTGTCTCATTTGGCTATGCCAATATTGTTTTAGGTTCGTAAGCTAGAGTTTTCGTTGGCTGATACCCTGGATAAGAAGTGTGACACAATCTTCACATCGTGTGGTGGAATCCAGTCCAATCATTGCAAAAGCACTGCAGTTGCTGCAAGACAACTTGGTTTGGATTGTTATCTGTTCTTAAGAAGTCCTGAACAGGCACGTGTTTGATTTACTCAAAATTAACTTCAAAGCATCCTGAGTCATGATCAAAGATCTGTCACACCTAAGCACAAGTAATGATTAGTAATAAAAGAATTTTGGTAGATTTTGGTTAGCCAAGGCTTACAATCAGACAAAGAGTGGCACCCATGTGATCTATTACTAACAGTAATGGAGACATAGCAACATGGAGTCTTATAATTTTTTGTTTGTCCCATGCTCACAACAAGACAAAACAGCTTCTTTCTCTTTTTCTTTACCAAGCTCAAAACTTACCATCTTTCTTATTCTATTTACAAAACATGACACTAACAACATTGCTGATCCAAGCATTATGCAGGACCATAAAGTCTCTTTAGTTCAGTGGTAGAGCGTCAGAGCACAGAATCCAAAGGTCTGAGGTTTGATTCCTCATGGGGACTTCCACTCTCGACAAGACAAAAAAACATCTTTCTTGATTTCTTTACAAAGCTCAACACTTAATTACCACGATCTTTCTTATTCTTTTTACAATATGTGGAACCTGTTTTTTAATTGAAAGCGCTTCATGTTTCATTAAGCAGTGGACTTACCACCATCATCATCCAAAGGATTGGACAATAATGGTGATGATAATGATAATTGTAATGATGATTGCAGTGAAAATGAGATGACAAGATTCACAACTGCACTATCACATATAATAGTTGAGCAAAGGTTTCTATGAGATTTGAGGCAAACAGAAAAAAACTGCATAGTAGGCTGCTAATATAGGTTCAGTCTTTTCTCTAATGTTGCTCATTTCAGAGAAAATAGGAACCAATTTGCTTCACCTAAATGGCAAATTCTAAGAAACTTAGCAAACCTATTTCAACTTACATTTGATCTTTTTTCTTCATGCAGACCACGGATATTGATTGTGAAGAAAACCTTTAAACAAATTGGTTGGAAGTCAAATTATTGTTGTTCCTCAGCTTCAATACAAATCTGGCCTTAAACAAATGATGGAGAAAATTTCTGAAAAATTGTAAGTAAAAGGTCAGAGGACTGTATATACTAGAAAGTTGGCACCACTATGATTGCAATCATAAAAATTTCCATCTCAAACTGACTTTTTTAAGGCTTATTTTGGACAGAGCTGTCACTAAGTGGTGATAATAAGCCAGCTCATTTTATTATGATTGCCATTTCACAGTTTTGAATGGAATTGACTGCATATTAATCTAACAGTAACAGGTTTAGATGCAGGGATACAGAACTTGCATGAGAGATTTTGAGGAATCTCCTTTAATGCCAAACATACAATGAGAATAAAGAAAAGTATCAATTAAGGAATTATTAGTGTGAACAATACCAAATTCTCCAAACTAACTTCGTAGGAATTTTGTGGTACACATTAAGGAGAATTACCAATGAGATCCTGGGAGTGAAAGGGTTAGCAGATCAAACACATGTTCAAATGTGAACCCTTTACACCCTAACATCAGTATACATGTTCTCTATGCTGTTCTCTATACATATCATAAGGTTCTGACAAGGAGAATTTGATAAACAATCAAGAGCTTCTGTAGTTGATGATCATTTCCTTCATTCATGTGACCTTAATGTGTAAATTAGGGATGATACTGTTTAGAGAATTTAGATGCTAGTCACTCTAAGGGAATAAAGCATCTAATTAATTTGTAATGGAGGTAATTTTTTCTAGGGGTTCCCAATTTTAAGGCGATTCCAAATTTCTTGTTGACCAGGAGTTTATAGAAACCACACAGGAGACCAATAGATTCTGTTCTGTCATATGACTCTGGGGAAATGCTAGGAAAACTCAAGAGAGTTGTTATAATTATTACACAGTGAGTAAACACAGTGAGTAAAGAAGGAAGCAGATATTGGAGAATTCTGGAACTAAGTTTTGTTGGGCTAAGTTATTTTTAACCCAGATGTGGAGAATTTTCTCCTCAAATTACTTACTTACTTCACCTGCTTTCGTGTTTCTCAATAAAAATCCTGCATGTATGCCGAGGCATGTTTGTGGATGTTTGTTAAAGTTCCTTCCTACTGACTTTGTGTGCTTTTTTTTTCAGGAAGGAACAGGGCTCATCAGCCTATCTAATTGAAGTTGGAGGCTCCTCTTACATGGGGATGTGCAGTTACTTAGCAGCCTTTCAAGAAATGATAGATCAGGTAAAATTACAGGCTTTTTCTGTATTGTGTGCTCATATGTGCATTTCTGGTCAAGAGGTCATGAATGCAGTTAAACACTGATCACAGTCAAAAGCCTGTTTCTTAAAAGATTTTATTCTGGATATCTGCCAAAATGTTGGCTTTGTTTGTTTCAGAATGTGCTGGAGAATTTTGATGACATTGTTGTTACAGTTGGCAGTGGTGGAAGTGCATCAGGAATAGCCATTGATAACTATTTAACATGATCAGAACTCAAGTAAGCTCTAAAGAAAAATATTGGTATTTTCTTTCTTGACTGTGTGGGAGGGCTGGACTTGAAAAAATTTGGCTCAAGGTCATGACATATAGACCTCTCTCTGATCAATCTGTCAATTATGACCAGCAGCTAAGTATTTTCCAATCTGGCTTGTCCCCACTTAGTCATTAAGGCTTTTACCATTTGACCAGCACTCTTTGTATTCTTTCTTCCTGCTGTTTGCATCTCAGGAGGCCATATATAGAGCTCTGGAGTTATTTATGGTGACACTGTCACCATTGCTTTTATTTGTCTGAAGGGTTTGATTTTTTAAAATGTTTTTCATCAAATTTACATCCAGGGATTTACTGGTCTTAGGATAAATAATAATAATAATAATAATAGGACTGAGTGGAATTCAATTCGGTCTGTAATCTTATGAGTGATTATATGAATACAATCAGATGACTGTTAAGTGGGAGTCTGATATGTTAATCACCAAGTAATCAAAGCTATGACAAAATTTGGGAAAGAAACCAGATGTATTGGTTATGCTTTTTCAATAACAGGGTGTGCACATGACACATGCTGCCCACTCATACAGGCATGATGCATCAACTGTCCTTTTACACTATTCAGTAAGAGGCATGACATGTACACTGTCCTATTAGTGCTTAAATTGGGCTGGTGATAACTAATCATATTGGAGTATTTTGTCATAGTTTACATTGAAATGCTTTATCACCTTTCAAGAACCCCTGACAAACTATTTCATGCTGAGAAACATTATGTAGAAGCTTCATGCTCAACTTATAGGCTAATAAAAAGTTTCTGCAAGTACCTAAGCAATATATGCTTAAGACTTAAGCCAAAGAGATTGTGCTTCTTGAGAATTTCTCGCAGGCCTTTATATCTTTCTAAAAGTTTTCGCTTATTTTCTTTGAACAGTGGAGACTAATTGAGACCTGTAATAGTAACATCATTGTCATTTATTCATAGATGTCATGCAGTGAGTGTGTGTGATGATGAAGCATATTTTTAGCAGAAAATCAATGAAGACCTTCGAATAGGTGGACTAGATGTTCAAGCAGAAGAGTTAATTGATATTATTGATGGATACAAAGGAAAGGGCTAGCCAAATCCACTGAAGAAGAGTTGGGTTGGTGTTGACTCAAATAATTTCGCAGATTTTGGTTTCTTCTTAATTAGACTAAGAGCAGTCCCTCCCTTTGAAGAAGTCTGTCAGGCAAATAAAAAAAAACATTAAAAAAAATCGACTGAAGTTCACAGCCGCTCACTAACTTTTCTTCACTCATTTTTTTTCCTTTTTGAGTCACATAACTTTTATAGACTTTGCCCAAAAGGATGGGTTTCTTGTAGTCTTCTACATAATACATTTAATAATAACCTACTTATTTTTGGTATTGGAATGACATGCAAGTTGAAAAGAGTTGTTTCTATCTATTACTAATTAACCTTTTCAAAACTTGAAAATATGAAAAAGTCATGCCCCTCATTGCCTTCTGTTCCTGTACTAATGCCAAACATGGAAAATTTGTTTTCAGAATGCTCTTTGGCTGACAGCATGTTGATTTATTTCAGTACAAATTAAAAGCTGAAATTTTATTGCCAAAAGTTAAAATGATATGTACTCTGTTAACAAGCAATCAGTGTACTTGTTTTACAATTTAGAAGGAATGATCACTCAATGATGTTTCAGACCACAAAGTTTACCTGTTCTCAACCCCCCCTTCTTTACCACAGGTTTCTGTAACACAATAATGATGGATACTTCTAGCAATAATTATTACAATTTCTTGCTTATTTAATCCAGAATGCGTTCGAAATTGCTTGATTGCCAAATAAAAACATGGTCTAAATCTTTCTTAACCCTACGAACTTAACCTTTTCTTGCTCCTTACGAACCCTGAAATGTTTGTATCTGTTAATGAAGAGGACGTTATGGAGATATCCAGAACAACTGGTATTATGGTGGACCCCGTGTACAAAGTCAAAGCCATTAGAGGAATGTTACACAAGACGGAAACCAACTCAGGGCGATTTAAGGGTCACAGATTACTTTATATTCATACCGGCGAGTACAATTTATCGACATCATCATTTGACAAACACGTCATTCCTTCCATTTGGTCAAGAGCCCACGTACCTTGCAAATAATGGTTTCTCAAAGGTTATAACTTGGAGGCGCGTTTATCCTCGCAAATGATATCCTGCTCAAGCGTGGTTGTGCGCATGTCAGCCTGAGGGGAAAAAGTGCATCACCTTAAGTTTTCAACGAGTGATTTTGGGAAATAATGTGGAAAACGAAACGATCAATCAAATTAAAAAAGTTTAAAAATGACATTTTTTCTATCTGGTACAGAAATTGCAGCCTTGAGACCCCATTTTTGATCCCTCATAGAAGCATCAGTAGTTCGAAACATGTACTACAGTTGCATGTGGCATGTACTTTCTTTCGCGTGAAATCAAAATTATTATACATTAGACTTACAATGATAACTCTGATTGGTCGAGAGCATACAGTCGATATACGATAGCGTATGAAGTTGACATGATGACCCAATATCTGTGGCAGTTCTGCCTAGTTTCCAAGCCCCTCGTCCGTGTGGTGTTGTCAAACTCTGGTAAAATCAGAGAGAAGATTCTTTTTTTCGCAAATTGTTTCAAAAAATGTATGATAAAATATTTATTGAAAATGGTTCAAGCGTAATATTATAAATGATCAAACCTCGCGTCTGTGTTATCTGCCTCAGCCTTCGGCTTCGGCAGATAACGCAGACACCGGTATTGATAATTTATGATATCATGCCTAACCTCATCCAGTAATTGCTCATTATTATTTTATTGCCCAAAGTAGAGTACAGATAATACGCGAATCGAGTACAATATTCCTGTGATATTGTACAGTTGCTTATTATGTGCGGTAAGAAAGCCTTTTCCCACTTTTTGAAAAATGCCCATGAAATAAAGCAGTTTGACAATAAATAACTTCTTCTAACGTTTTGGTGTGTAGTGTCGCTGGGTATTTTTACTCATAGTTTGTGTTTTGACTCGCCCTGCGGGATCGTGAAAATAAGGCAAAACTCATAGTAATATTCACCGATACTTAACACTAAAACGTCTGATAGGTTATGTTTTTTTTGATGGAAGACTGGATACGACAACAACCACAGGTGATGGACTTTCATAAGTTCGATTAGAGGATGGGGTTTCCAATCCTTCTAAAATGACGAGACCTGATTCGTAACAATGTTATGCGAGTTTCGCACAAGTCTGATGGGTGTGTCTTATTTTCCAACAGGAGGTTTGTGCGGTTTGTATGATGGACCCGTTAATAACTCGCCCTGCACTGGGTATAAATGATGTTGTCTGCTGGGAAAGTGTCAATGATCCTATGCCATTCTGAGGCTGACTCGTTCTTAGTTGTCTCTCTTATTGTAGATAATTAGATGGTGCGCGAGAGGTTCGCGTGTAACAAGATTTTCGTTCGTTTCCCATCGTATCCTTTGTTAAGATAGTGCTAGACTCTCAAGAAACCCTCGCTGCGCAAGAAAGACTAGGAACCAGTAAGTTTCTGAGTACGTTTTCCTTTGACGTCAATCAAAAATTGGCCGCAAAAGCGGAAATAACAGCATTATTGATAAAATTTTAATTTTTTAATTACTTGTTCGATTTATAAACTCATATCTTTGATTTCACATCAATAAAAAAAAGGTAACGTTTTATTCGTTTTTCAGTATATAATATATACATATATGGATTCCAAGTTTTGCTTTCAACCCAAGAGGACGTCGACAAAATTGATGTCTCTGAATCAATTTTGTCTGCGATGTTGATGCACCTTGTTTTTTTTCTTTACTCTTCTCTTAGTTTTCGCTTCCTTCCGAAGAAGCCAGAATGTGAATATCTAGTTCTATTTGTCATTTTGGGTTTCGTAACAAGGATGATGTTGAGTATTTAGTTCAAAGCTCGCTAAAAAATTTTTGTGATTGCGATAAAAAATGGTGATCGAGGGGTGATATGATTTTAATGTCTCGTTAACCCAAGCACTATTAGTATGGTTTCTTTCAAATCACCGGCTGATTTTAAAATCAAAGACGCGACCTTCTTCAGTGATTTTACACCTTCTCTCGGCAGCAGTTCCCAACACATGGGAACGTTCGAGGAAAAGTTCTCCGTTCATTGGATCGCTATTGCCAAATACCTCTTTTACAGTTCCGTGGCTCTGTGTCAATAAAATGCCAAACAATTCGTCCTCATCAAATTTGTCTGCCTCATGTTGGCAGCGTTTCCAGTGTTTTACAAGAACGTCGTCGGTGCGATGAGGCCAAGGACTCCTTTCGGGTTGTAATATGACTACTGAATTAAATGCGTTTCTTTAACCCTTATTTATCACCTCTCGATGGTCTGCGAGGATTTCTCGATGGTTTTGAGAGAGAGGGCCGGGTCACACTGGAGCTAATTTTGTATTGCAAAGATATTGCCAATTTATAACGGAGTCGAAGTCCTGCCTCGGGGGCCTCTAAATTTTGGCAAATCAAGCAAATTTTTTCAACCATGTAGGTGTTGTGCATGGAAGACTTTTGTGGATAAAAGTATAGCGGAAAGTAAGGGCCAGGGGCAAGATTATCACGTTTTATTAAAAGTGCACTATGCTAGTCAAGAGAATCTGACGATTCATGCAAAAAAATTCATTTGCGAAAGATGTGAAGATTTTTTATGGGCGCAATGCAAGTCAACAACGTGATGTTCAATCTACCTTGCAAGTAGCTCTTAGTAGCGTTTCGCCACGAGCCACGAGGCCCACGAGATTTAAGCCGATGGGAGGTCTGTGAGGGTCTGGCACTACCCTCGCGGAACTCCCGTGCATCTCACGCTTGCCTGCGTGAGATGCACGGGCTTCGCCTCTCGTCTCGAATTTCATTGTGGGTCATCCATATCTTTAATGAAAGGCGATGGCATGCGTGACCTGTTGGTGTGGATTACCAT